GCTAGAACTGGCGGCGCAAGAACTCGCTCTACCGCGGTGCGACCCAATGACAGCTGATTAGCCCCCCTCTCGCGTTATATTAAAGACCAGCGGTGCTCTCCTCAGAACAGCCCAGGAGCCCTGACAAAACGCGCGCGGAAGAATAAAATCCCGGTGCCGCCGCGGGCCCTAGGTCAAACGGGTCGCCGCGAATCGGCCAGGGGGGCGGGGGGTCCAGGCGCGAGTCGGGGAGGTGATCTTTCGTTTCGCCAAGTCGTCGGAAGCGGGGCCTCGATCAGGCGCTTTCCGTTCGCGCGATGGGAACGCGTTCCAATCCTAATGTCAGGTTGCGCCACGCTTGCTTCTCATGTGCGGGAAGAGCGGTTTGACTGCGCGGGGCCTTCTGACCAGCTCGACCTGCCTAGTTTGACCCTGGTACTCCTACTCTACTCTGCCCCCTACTCTGATCTACTCTATTCCACTTCCCCCCGCTACTCCGCGCTACTCTGCGCGACTTCATCCTCGCGCACAAATGTTCCAATCGGTTCGCGGGCGCGCTGCCTATCCGCCGCGTGGCTGGGGCAGAAAACGAGCGAGCTCCACGCTCTCATCAAGCTCTGGGGCCGCAGCTTTCGGGGGGGGCATGGGCGAGACAGGCGTGGGGCCAGGCCGACCCCAGCAGGGCCGGCTGGCGCTCCGACTCGGGTAAGCAAGAAGGCAGGGGGCGAAACGAGGCGGAGGGGGGCTCCGATCGGCGGCCGGGCGCGCCGCGCCCCGCGGGCCATCGGCAGCGCGGCCGGGACAAAGGGATAGACGGTCCCAATGTCATCAAATTTCGACTCCAACGCGAGCAGCTAGCCTGACTTGTCCGGCCATCCGAAGCAAACAAGCGCCGGCGGAGACGCCCTAAGGCGATCAGAGCGGCGAGGGCTGGCAGCGGGGCAGCCAACGGCGCCGCGGGCATCTGGGCCTGCCGCGCAGGAGCTGGACGCGACGAAAATGTCACGAAACTCGCTGCTACAAGGGGGGGGAGAAGAGACGAGCAGCGGCTAGGCGTGATATGGTCCGTCTCAAACGCGCTGCAGCCACCTCCAGTCATGCGTCGAGGAGAGCATGCGGCGCCCTGCTGCCCGCCCTGCGCAATTGCTCGAGAACGCCCGCGCGCCGCTTGGCGCTCGACGCAGGTTTGCCGCGAAAATGCAGCGTAGCATGGAACGTCGCTTTCGCGGCCGATGACGACAAACTTACTTCTGCGTCGCCGGCGCTTCCACGGCGCAACCGTCGGGGCGAACGTCCTGCAGGCCGACAAATCTGGCCTTCAGGCTCCGAACTAAGAAGGGCACGCAGCTTGGCGTTCGATGCAATCCCGCGCGCCTTGAGAACATCCTTCAACGTGCACGCGCCTGTTGACATCTGCGGGCGGCGCGCCGCCCTCTCTATCGAGTGCGGAAGATGCGCCCGAGGCGGCGCCATCATTTTCAGTTTTACACAGAAAGATTACCAGCGCCCCGCGAGAAAGAACCCCTGTGGGCACCGCTGGGCCCATCTGGGCAGCTTCTGTCGAAATTGCAAGTCCACGCTTACGCACCTCGAAGAAAATGCCTGCGGAGCGTCGCAGCATTCTCTCTGCCTCCTGGCTAATCTCGCAGCGGCGTAGCTTCGCTGACTGCTCTGTTCGCGCTGCAAGCGGCGAAACTTGAAGTGCGCCATGCCGCCCATGCCCGGTCACGCGTCTTGGCGCCGGCGTCGAGGGGCCCCGCTGCTAGGCAGCCTGCCACTGTCGCGTAATCCGCGAGCGCGGCGCTCGCTGCCCGCGACTTTGCCACCCGGGCTGCGTCTGCCACGCGCGCAAGTTCAGCTGGGGAAGAAATGAGCTTCTCGAGAGCCCGCAACTCTGCGGCGGTTCTCAGCCCACTGGAGCCCGAAGTCATCCTTCCAAGTGCGGTGGCCCCCTCTGCGAGGAGGTCAGGTGTAGGTCCGAAGAGCTGCGACAAGTGCGAAAACACCAGGAGTTGCAAAGATATTGCACGCGCGGCACTTTAACTGTAGCACGAAGCCCAGTCCAAATCACGCGCGCGCGGGCGCCGAACTTTTTCATCGCACTGCGATGTTCCCTTTTCCGACCGAAGCAGGCCAACTTTGAATCCAATAGTTATGCGTGGCGCATGTTGCGAATCGCGCAGATGCCGCGTGAGGCAGCGTGTCCCCAGCTGCTCCTTCGAACAATTTCTGCGTTTCCCAAAGCGGAAATGCAATAGTTGTGGCCATAGTGGGTCTCTAACCTGAGGTTTGTTCGAAGTGCCTGTGCGCTGCGGCGCCACTAGGGCACCCCTCCAAAAATTGCGAAACACAACGGCGCCGTCGTCCGCATATGCTCGGGCAGCGATGGCAGGGCACTGCCGCTGCAGAGGCGGAACAGCACATGCGTGGCCAGAACATGCAGACATGGGGGCAACGGACATCCCTGCCGACGGCCACTGGTCATTCTAAAGCCATCGAAAACCTGCCCCCAATTTGATGCGGTGCACATTTTTCCACTAGAGACACGCCGCGACGTTTTGCTGCACTTTCCGGCATCCCCATGGAGGCGACTGCGTGCAAGTCAAAAACTCTACGACGAGCCGATGACAGCAGTCTCGAATCAAACAAGACTAGAGCGGCCAGCCCCCCCCCCACCCCCAAAGCTTGCAAACGTGCCGACGGATGGAACGGTCTGCTAGAAAGACCCGTCGCATGGATGTCACGAGCTGCCCAGCAAATTTCTCAGGCAACATGCGGTATGCACTCGTTATGCACCGGTGATCCGCGTCAACCAACGACTGTGGTCGCGCGTGCGACGGGGCGTAGACACCCCCCAGCTGCTCATCTCTGCCGGCGGGCTTTTTCTGTAGACATCATGACGAACTCGAATTGATGTCAGCCAGCATGTTCCGTCGCGCGCGCTCGCCTTGCAACGACATCGCAGCGGCGTGCACTATGGGCGCAGCCATGGACTGATTGTTCCCAGACTTTGCACGGGATGCCGCCCACGCCAACAGCCGACTCGCGCGCAGAGCGAATGGCCTGAGCGGCATGAGATGCACCTGGCTGCCGCCGCGGGTGGTCTTCATGCATTCCGATGTCTCAAAAATCATACCACTCTTCGACCTTCGAACCCTGCGCGCCAGATGAATCAACTTCCTCGCGCGAGGATGTCTTGCCCCAGTGATCCTTATGCCGCGCGGCATTCACCCGCGGGCCCGAAGAGAAGCGACGGCCGCAGGGCGAGCGCATCAGTGCGATGCCGCCTCCGCCTCCAAGCAGGAGCCGCTGCAGTTGCCTTAATGCGCGTTCTTTGCGGGGCGCGCGCTGGAGTTCCCGCGGACGATCACGGCGTTGCCTCAGGTCCCCAATCCTGCCCCGCACTTCTTGCCGCGCCAGTTCCACGTCGCGGTAAATGCGAAGAACTACACGTGGAAACTTCGGCCTGGGATGCGTCCCCCGCCTCCTGCGCTCGATGAACTGCCGTGGCCAATCCAAGCTTGGCCTCGCTTGTCATTGCGCCTGCGTCTCCGGCGGCGCGGGGCAACTGCTTGCGGGCGCGACGCGCGGCAACGTTGAAAACTGCCAGTATGGCAACTGGCGGAGCGCGAGGAGACAACCCAGCACCCCGTTCAAATTCTCGCAAGAATTCTGGAAGCTTGGATGGCAGGCGGGGCCCACTGGGAGCGGCTCGGGCAAATCCGCCCCCCGGCGAAAAACGACGGGCGATGGTCGGAGAGGCGAGAGGGGAGAAGTAAAACCGTGTAATCCATGTGCTTGTCCAGCAACTCGCGCCTATGTCGTTTCCAACGCAACCGATCAATTCGGGACTTCACTGCCGCATTCTCGCGAGCGAACTGATGTCGCATTTACTCTTCCAGCGCGCGCTGAACGCCAAGCAAGCTTCTGAACAAACTGGGCCAACTCGAATTGAACATGCGGGGCCACTGACCGGCATTTTGTGGCGGCCAGTCGCTCGCGCTCTGCAGACTGAAAAATCCCCCGCAAGGACGGAAGTGACGCGAGCGATGTCTGCTGGGGAATTGGCGATCCCATCGGCGCAGTCGGTCCGAGCAGAAGGCGAATCCGAATGGGAATTGGGAAATTTACACCCGCATCAATGTTGCCGAGGCCCCCTCGCAATCTCAACGCAGAAACCCCCGGCCACTGCAGCGCGCCGTATTTTCGAGCGAAGCTTCGTTAAAACACATAGTGCGCCATCAGTGCAGCGCGGGCCCTGGACCGACGAAGGTGGAACCAAAAACGCGAAACGCCTGGCGGCTGCGCGCGCGCCTCAGCTCTGCCATCGACTCCGCGCGCCTCTCGCAGAGCCTGCGCGCGCACTTTCCCGAGCATTTGCTTCGCGAGAACATGCCCCCGCGTTGCCCGCGCGCGCCCCTTGAGAAAGAGAAAACAAACAGCGGCGACGCCAGCGCCCGCGCGCCCCGAGAACAACCAGGTGAATCGCATCGAAAGGAAACACTAATCTACGCCGTTCTGCTCCATCGCATTTCACTCATCTACTCGGCTGATTTGCTGCTCGGGGGGGGCGGGGCGCGGGGGCGGGCGGCGATCGCGCGCGCGAGGCTGCCCCGCGAAAAGCGCCCGCGAAAAGGGCGCGGGCATCGCCGCGATTGCGTTGCTGCCGGCGGCGAGCGCCGGGCGGGGCGGGCAAATCCTGCCACCCCAGAACAGACAGGCGCCAACAAAAGGAGCTACCCGTGACAATTACTGCCCTGGCGAGCGGTCGAGGAGGAGGGGGGGCGGGAGAAAAAGGGGGGGAAGGGAGGGCGGGGGGGGGGGATCTAGGCAAAGCCCCGCGGGTCATCGCCATCCGACTCCCGCGAGCGCGGGCGCCCCATTGACTGGGTAGGCGCGCCCCCAAGTTGTCGCGCTCGCTGGCAACTCAGCGCAGACGCGCGCAAGACGCGGCGCCGGGCAGCAACCGCGAACGACGGCGACGACGAAGAGAGGGGAGAGAGGCAGAGAAAATGACGCAATCAGTTCCGCCGCGCAGCTGCCGCGAGCGCTGCGAGGCGAGGGTGCGCAGCGCAAGCTTCCCCGGCGCATTGCCGCGAGGCCTCCCGAGCGTTGGGAGCGCCCCGCGGCGCGCCGCGGTAGATGCCGCGCGCGCGCAATGCGCCGACAGGGCCCGGCGGCGAGCGATAACGCGCGCCGTGCCCGTTGAAAACGGAGCGAGAGAAGCGAGAAGTGAGACGCGCGCTCTTCGGAAGAGGGGCGGCTAACGCCAGCCGCATGCGCCCGAATTCCGCGACGCAGGGGCAGCGGGCGCAGCGCTCGACGCTGCCCCCCCCCGTGCGCGCGCGCAACGGCGCAGCGCGTCGGCCGCTGCGCGCGGCGCCCCGTCGCCGAGCCAATTGCGCGCGACGCGGCGCGCCGATGCCCGCGCCCGCGGCAGCGCCGAGGGCGCCAGGCCGCGGAGTGCGAGCGTCGCGCGCTCCCAGCGGCGCCCTCGGATCACCGCGACGCGGGGGCAAGGGGGGGGGGGCGGTCGAGGTTGCGAGCGGCGCCTTGCGGGCTCGCGTCCGAGAGGAGAGTCCGACACCGCCTTTGCCACTCAATCTTCGGCGCCGGTTCCGGCGCGTCGCCCTGGGCCAAGGCCTGGGCCGACGTCCTGGCCGCTGCTGCTCGTCGGTCAGGATGGCCGCGCGCCTCTGCGAGGATCTTGAGGGAATTCCAGCTGCGCCGGCTGCCCCGAGCGATCCAAACGGCCGGAATGCAAACGGAGCGCGCCCAGAAGCCGAGGACGATGACGCACCAGAAGACCTCCACGTGCTACATTTTCCCAGCGATGCACCCGGCATCTCGCCGCGATCGCCGCGGAGGCGGCATCGACTAACTCCGTTGCGTAACGCAGGCTCCAGAGCGCCGCTGGGGTGGTCCAGCAGCGGGGGCCCGGGAAGAGGAGGGCGCGCGCCTGCTGCTCCACGGCGCTCCAAATGGACGGCAGCTGGCCAACTGCGCGAAAAAGGAGGGCACCGGAATATGTAAGCTTGGTAAGCCAGTAGGGTAAGCAGCATACCGCAGCCGATGCCCCGCCACACATTGGCCCCGGAAATGGACTTCTCTGACGGCTTCGCCCACGAGTGTGCGGCGCGCTCCGCGCCGACTACGAAGCCCAGGTAGGTTGCGTGCCGGCAGATGGTGAAGTCGTTCCACGTGGGCGCGGCCGCCTGTAGACTCCCGCGCGCGTTCGATTGGTTCCAACAAGAGCGTAACCCAGACCAGTTTGGCGCGGTGTAATCGTAGCCCCGACAGCCGCTCGTACTCGCCGAAAGTCCGCTCAAGAATGGAAGCATCACCCGCCCCGCTGCCTTGGCCGACGGCCAAGTCGTCGGCGCGGGCGCGAGGAATAGCGTCTGGCATGAGGTGTGGGAGCCTCCGCAA